TGATCTCGTCTTTGCGCATCTTCCATGGCGAGGTCGAGGAGTTGGCCGGGGGGAGGCATCCGTCACCAGGGCAAGTGAAGTCGGAATGCCAAGCGGGTTTGCTTTCGTGAAGCGGCTGCGCCCGATCCATAGTCCGCAAGAGGCAAACACAGCATCATCAAAAGAAGACTCACATGACTTGACTGCATGCTCAAAAACCTTGACATGAGTGCCTTCTTCAAGAACAGGAATGCACTCCGTAATCCGACGGCCGTCCAAACACTGCACGAGGGAGGTTTTGAGATGTCCATGAACTGTGTTCCACTTCCAGGGGTTGAAGCCAAATTGACGAGGGCTGACATGTATACGCAACATCTCATTGGGGGGTCTCAATCCAAAAATCCTTGCTCTGGTTGGCTCCCTTCCACCAAGAATAGAATGATGCACTTGCCACAGGGGTAGCTTGCAAAAGGTTCTCAATCTCCTTGGGGACCTTCTTTGGGTAGAACTTGGAATGGAAGGGAGCTTCCCCGTCTCCCCGAGCACGATCGGAAGCAGCAGTCTCGCTCATGTATGCCTGCGAGGTTGGGATCCAGATCACTCCAGAACCAGGAGCCAAGACAGGTGGGCTTCCTGACGGAAAAGAAGTCACGGGCACCCAGTGTCGCTCTGTTCAACTGGGAGTCCTTGTACTCCGAGACGGGCCATGGATAATTCCTGGGCCTCAATGTCAAAAGTGGTGCCCAGCTCAGCAAGTGCAGGGCGGCTCAAAAGCAAAGGAACCTGGCATTGAACGATGGAGATCTTTGCAGCCACCCAATGTCCGGCGATGCCGAACCAAGCCCAAATGGCGAAGGTGGACTTGTACACTCTCGAGGCTCCAAACTTGAAGTGTTCAGTCTCATCAACAATCATGTACTCATGCTGGCGGGCTTCTGCCCCTTCGATGAAGTGCTCAAACCATTGGTAGCCCGCCACCGACTTGGTGCACGCTGTGTCGACAATCGCCAGCATGTGCTCCTTGTCAGAGAGGCCACCCTCCAGGAGCTCGGTGATCGGGGAGGCCTCATACTGCGTCATGTAGCAGGACTGGACCGTGTGGCACACTTGTGCCTGTTGCACCTTCTCTGAGGTTCCTGAGCTGGGCGGCTTTGACTGACCCTTCAACGGACACTCAGGGTCCTTATGCCAATGTCCTCTTCTCTTGCAGGCACTGCAGTAGGATCTCTGCTTAGCCAGTCGAAGCCTCTCTTCTGCACGCCGCTTCAGCTCGGACGGGTCAGCTCCTCGGCCCTTCAAGGACTCTCGGTACTTTGCCTTCGCGCCCTGGTAGGTCATGTAGGCGGTGCGCTCGGCGATGGCGGTCTCCTCATCAACCAACATGGAGGCTTCGCTGCCTTCAGCGTCCTCGTCAGATGAGGCGCCATCCACGGTCATGTGAACCGATTGACGCCAACGGGGACGACCTGAAGGACCGCTTGGCCCCCCGAGTCTCCTGGGGGCTCCGTCCGTGCCGAAGAGTTCGATCCTGCACCAGGGCGGCGTGCTGCAAGCGGCGGACATCGTACTCGTTGCCCGCCGAGGCCAACAAGGCGAGTTCCTCTTGCTCTGAGAGGCGCAACTTGTCCACGTAGAGCCAGGCTTTCACCAAAGGAGGCAGCTCGCACCTGACCTCGTGGAGCCGCAGTACCAACCGTTCGAACTCAACATTGAACTCTCGGACCGACTGGTCCTGCTTCCGCTTGCATCTCCTGAAGAGGTCGTTCATGAGCTGGGAGATCTTGGTCACCTCGACGTCCATGAAGCGGGTCTGAACCCATTCCAAAAAGTAAGGGACGCCCTGCGACGTGCTCAGGACATCCAAATCCAGCTCCTCTGCTACGACCCATGCCTTATCCGTCAAAGCATCATACAGGGCAAGAGCTCGATGAGCCGGTGGAAGCTTCGTCACTCGAAGCCAGGCCTGCACCCTTCTCACATACGACCTGGCCGATCTGCCGATGGATTCGGCGTCCTTGTCATCAGAGGTGCCACCGTCAAAGGTCGGAACTTTCACCCGTTCCGTGGGTTTCATGTCCTTCTCCTTGAAGGCTTCAGTCTCATAGGGATAGCCATCCCAGTCCCGGCCTCCGGGATCCCCGACGGGGTGGAAGGATCCAAGCCACTTGCCATCTGAGGTGGCATTGAGCCTGCCGAGGGGAGCCGTATTGAAACGGCGAAGTTGAGCGTCCGACAACCAGCCATTGGAAGAAGTCTTCGCATCCCAAGCAGCATCATCCCAGCCTCTGGCGTCTGCCTGCCTACGAGGGCCACCATAATGGCGATAGAGCCATTGCTCATCGCTCTCCCCATGGTCCTCCGGCCAGGCAAGCGCCCAGGCTGCTTCATCTTCTTGCCAATCCCCTTCCCACGATTCATGCCAAGAAGCAGTCGGCCATGAATCATGGTCCTCCGTGGGAGGGGCCCCCCTCCTGTGCGGCCGACGAAGTGGCGCCCCCGGCGCCCTTCCCTTTTCCACCTTTTTCATGCCAAGCAGCCCATGGATCCAAAGGAGCGGCGGCATCCGTGGGCTCACCATCAACGGCAGGTGCTGCAGCCGAGGGTCGAGGCTGCCAGATCCTGCCCCGTGAACCAGGCGTCATGCCCTGGCTCGCAACCAGCAGCTCCGCGGCACCAATATTGGAATCACTGCCAGGACACAGTCATGGCGCGCAAGTGGAAAAAAACCTTTTCCGCATGAACACAACTCTTGAGCCTGGTTCAGGCATGAGACAAGTGAAATGACCCTCAAACATGTGCCCATGTACAAAAAGTCGAGAGCGAGCGACGTTCATCAACACTGCTCAAAAGCTCTCTACCAAGCACTGCTGGCTTGGCATGGCCTTCAG